GTGTTTAAAATTATATACAAACATATTCGCTCACCTTTCTATCCGTCAAACAGCATGTGTTGTGGTAGATAATTTCTCATGTTATGCAAATTAGTTCCCATTACAAAATCGAAGAAATAGTTGGCAGGATGATCGAGAATAATTTGTCTACGTATCGCACCAAATCTCTTCTTTCAGGTAATGGCAGAGAGTTTTGTAGTTTTAAAAGGGAAAAGTTATAGGTAATTGACAAGATGAATAAGTTAACAAATATAGCTCATCATCTAGCCAGTGATGGCCTAGATAAACCGACAGATAATAAAGTATTAGGCAACCAGTGGCGGATTTACTACAAAAAGAACTAAACGTTTATTAAGGTCCCCGACTACTGTTGGGATCCCTGAATCATTACTTGTTTCTTAAGCCTTCGTGAGTCCCGCTCCTATCTGAAACATTTATCAGTTTAGAGTATGCCACAAGTATTTATTTGCATATTTTATAAACTATTTCTATTCTAAAATCAAAATGCATTTTCTTTAAGTTCTCTTACTTTGTTGAATATTTATATAGTAGCAGCAGCCAGCGAATCATACAATCAACCGCACGTCTGACTCTGATGTTAACATTTAATTTCCACTAATGCTGGGTTCAGCGCTTCTTTATAATAACTGATGCTATAGCTGACAGCAGCGAGGAGTTTCCCTAAGGAGCCTCGGACCTCTAAATCCATCACATAGATATTCTAAGAGTAATCATTGATTTAAACAGCTGCACTAGAGATAAATCAACTCCTGATAGTCAATGTGCAATTAACTCTTCAATTAATATATCACCAGGTTATACACCACACTACATTCGAAGAGTCGGAATTGTATTCCGACTCTTCGCCAAACTATAATATTAACGACTATGCACCAGGACCCCTGATGCTCAAAGAATTTAACGATAGTGAAGAAAACTTCGGAGAAATCAACAACATATGTTATTACAATAGAAAATATTCCTTCAAACCCTGAAAAATCAAGGTTAATTCAAAAGTAACATTAAAGAACTTAAATAAGATTACAGTAATGCCAAAATTAGGCAAGAAGTGTTTAAGATTAATAGAAATAGCAAAGTTTTCTAAAAAATTCTTTTAATCGGAGTTTATGGTGTCGGAATCTAGGTTATTAATTTCCTTCCTGCTGTTCGTCCTCAAATTATTCCAGCGGTAGATTATAGCCATTGCTGTAAAGTTTTTTTTTTCAGTAAATGGGCATTTTGCGCCTATATTTGGCTTAAATGAGCACAAATTTAGGTGTGACACCATCAGCGGGAGAGTTTTAAGTGCATATCTTGACGATTCACTTTTTATTCATTATTAATATTAAATATGGTTTTACAGGGGCTGATGGAGATTATGAAGGTTAACGTTATCCTCCTCCCCAAGCTCTCCCTCGGTGCCGTCACTGTTGAACGCCCTCGGGCCTCGGGCAGAGGGTCAGTTCAGACTGGGCACTCAGCTAGACAGGGCAGCCAAAGCTCCATCCGCTTTCAAAGGAAAGCAAATGGAGCTTTGGCTGCCCTGTTTTAACTCCATCTAGTAAAGAGGTCGGCGAGCTTTTTTTTTGGGGGGGGGGTATTACCCCAAAACAAATTTATGTACAGCGAAATTCCCCACTAAACTGGAATCCTTACCCTTTTTACATTTAAGATTAATTATGTGAGAAAGTACCTTCATGAGGTTTACAGGATATTACCTGAAATATTATGTGCAAGTAATTTCGGCGAGGTAAGTGGCACTTAGTCACAGTAGGTCACCGAACTGTCACTTCCTCGATGCCCACTTCATAACTCATAAAAACTGAACCTAATATTAATAATTATAATAAACATTAATACCAATAATGGTTATAAAAAATGTGGACTGTATATGATTTTAGGACCTGGCTGTTAGAAATGGTTAATGGGAATATTTTTACGGAGAGTAGGGAAGGTTTTCTCCTAACTATATCATTAGAACAATAAATTTTATGCTCATTAGCTTACCATTTGTCACAGGAAGACAATGCTGGTAGAACACACCCTAGCAGCTAGAATTTATGATGGCCAATGTAAAACTACTGTACATTATGGGTAGGTGTCACTTAACTAAGGGGTGTTTCTGGGAAGAATCAGAGTCCTCTATTCTTCGGTCCATGTTGCCCATTTGGTTTTCCACACTATTTACCCCAATTCTTCAGTGGGAACGTGTCAGCAATTTCTAGATTACGGACTGAGGCTGATATACACCAATTGAACTTCGATGACGCCTGATTACATGACTTGTAACAACCAGTACACACATTAAATTCACTATGGCGTCCTCCCCGTTTGCCTGGCTGTTCCACATCCCCCCTCACTAGAAATTTCTCGAAGGGTCAAATCAGCATCACATTTTAATACACAACTGTATTATTCAAATTTACACATGCTGAATTTTGGAAAATTCAAAACGTTCCACAACATTATTGCCAACTTAAGAAATGGTCCCTACAAATTAGATTTTTAATTTTATTAAGAAACTAAAAATTATTTTAAAAAATATAACTTTTATAATTTGCCTTGCTTATTAAATAATGAATTTTTGTACAATTTTATTTATACGTTTAATGAACCTTCATTAACCCCCAAATTTTTATTTTTTACCTCATTTGGGGTAATTTATCCCCCGGTTCCCCTACCTCTGATCTAGTATCAGGAGGACCCTCTTATGTCTCTCCCCTCCTCTTCCTTCCCCTTCCCCCCATGCAAATCCATATTAATTATTTATAAATATCTGAAAAGTGACTAAAGTTACAATCGGATTACCCGAATTGAACAGTGAGGGAGCGGAGGGGAGAGGGTGTAGGGGAGTGGAGACGGAAGTGGATGGGTTGAGGGGAAGTGGATGGGAGGGATTTGATGGTGGGAGAGGGGAAACGGGATTTTAGAGGTGTGTTTATCTAGACTCTAGAGGAACATGCGGGTGTTAAACTGTAGTTTTTGGGCCCGCTTGTGAACATCCTCTTGTTACGATGTTTCCCTAAATCCTTCAACTTTCTTACTAGCTTAAAATGTGTTATTAGTGTACAGAAATATTCCAACATAGTGAGAACAAATGACTTAAAGAGGACCGTCAGTGGTCTGGCACCTCTTGTTTGGAAGGTTCTCATTATCCATCCTATCATTTTCTTCGTGGTTGAGATATTAACATTGTTTTGATTTTTGAAAGCAAGATCCTTCGACATTATCCTTCCTAAGTCCTTCATGTTAGTTTTTCGCTCTAGCGAGATGTAGTTTTAACCTTTCTAGCTTTTAATAATTTTTTCTGTAACGGAGTAAATCAAATTTGTCCTAATTGAACATCGTATTTTTTTTCTGTGGTCCACTGGAAGACTTAGTTTATATCCGCTTGAAGATTTACTGTGTCCTCAATGAATGTCGCTTTCATGTAAATTCAAGAATCTTTTAGGAAGGATGATTTGTCCTTGTCTATGTCGTTTATGATGAGGTAAAGGCGGGGGATGAGTAGCTTGCCTTGGGGAACAGAGTTCGTCACTGTGGCAGCCACTAACTTTGTTTACTATTTCTCTTTGGGTTCTGTTTGTTAGAAAACTAAAAATCCATCTGCCCACTTTTCCAGTTATTCTTTTGCACGCATTTTGTGCGCTGTTACACCACGATCACACTTGTCGCAGGCTTGTGCAAAGTCTGTGTTGTTACATTCGCATTTTGTTTGTCTTCCTCTGTATCCAAGACCATGTCGCAGTGGTCCGGCAGGACCACTACGACATGGGAGGAAGGAAGAAAAGGGTGGAGTTAGAAGGTAGACAGGAAGATAAGTAAAAGAGACAGTATACAGCGAGAAGACAGCCTCTTTACCACAAGATGGGCAGCTGTACCCTTCTCAGAAACATCACTTCATCTGAGATAATTCATTTTTAGAATAACTCAAGTCTACAACAAGTTCATACAGCACAACATAGACGAAATAGTTGACCTAATGAATTCTCTGGCCCACATTAGGCTCCAACGTCATCCTGTTCCCTGTTGGTATGTTTCACAGCAATGGAAATATAATGAAAATGCTAGGTAAGAGCTTTTAGCGTGTAAATAAAGGTAGAAACCCTTAACCCTGTTAGAAACTTTGTGTAAAAGGGAGGGAAAAAGAGAGGGAGAGAAGGAAGAGATGAAGGAAGAACTAAATGACACACATACAAACATGGACAGAGAGAGACAAGATACAAACGGACAGAGAGTAGCTAGCACAACAAATCTGACTTTAAAAATCATTTCCACGCTGAATTTCGTGTTGATATGAAAATATCAAATGGAGGATTGTAATAATATCAAGCATGAGTTTCTCTCACATTCGCTCACCTGAACGAAACATTTCGAGAACAAACAAAGAAAAACATACTCTAGAAGTCCTGGAGGTACGAATGGCTCTTTTGTTTTAATTACCTTTAATTTCCTCTCGATGATATTTTAATTGTCCAATGTAAAGTGTATTTACCTGTACTGCACTTAAATGAAGGGTCTTGTATTAGTGTTGTGGTGTGTGTGCGTGTGTGTGTGTGTGTGTGTGTGTGTGTGTTTGTGTGTGTGTGTGTATTCACGTGCCTATTTGTGTATTCATCTATGTAAACGTATGCAATAATCCACTACTGTGGCCTCTTCGCAATACCTATCAGCCGCCTCCCAAAATCTATACATCGCACTATACCACACCACACCCCAAACACCTGACTATTATCTACCACGCTACAGCCAAACACACTGCAACACACCACAATCAAACACCATTACATCTCTACAGCACAAGTCACTCCTATAAGATTCCAGCAAAACGCGAACCACCCCACTCTACACCACCACCACACTACACCACCACCACACTACACCACCACCACACTAACCCACCACATACACCACCCCACAACTACACCACCCCCACTCTACACCACCACCACACTACACCCCACCCACACACACCCCCCACTTACACCACCACCACACTACACCACCACACACTACACCCCCACCACATACATCCCACACTACACCACACCACACTACACCACCCCCCTCTACACCCCACCACACTACACCCCCACTTACCCACCACCACACTACACTCTACACCACCACCACACTACACCACACTACACCACCACACACTACACCACACTACACCACACACCACCACACACTACACTCTACACCACCACACATACACCACCACCACACTACACCACCACCACACTACTCCACACAAAATGCCACTGCACCACACTCCTACATCACATCACAACACCATATCACACCCTCACTACACCATAAAATCCTCTGTCACCCCACCTTCCATTCTATCCTCCTCAATACAACACAATTTAACATGTTTATTACGCACACCATACCCATGGTGTGGGCGGTAGTCAAAATATTACAGAGGCACATAATGGGCCCAGGGACTGGGCTCCAAAGTTTTGATAGTTAAACAAGTTACTGTTGTAATGAACTATTTACATGTTTATATCTGGTTACAATCGTAATGAGTTATTTATACAGACATAAACTCAAGTCACAAAAATATTACGGTGTAATTTATTTGTGGTTCTGAATTATTTACACTACCTTATATTTTAGCAAAGTAAGGTTGAATTTAAACAGGTTGAGGGATCATTACGTGTTGTCTACAACTGGCAAGCACAGGGTATTTTTTTCATGTCTGGTAATATGCCAAACGTACACTAAAATGCATCATCTTCCCCCACAGTGCCGCCCAACATCGTGGACGGTGAGAGCTCCGGTGACGTGATGGTGCAGGAAGGTGCCAACATCACCCTCATGTGCAGTGCCAGTGGCACTCCCACCCCGTCTATCACCTGGAGACGGGAGGACCACATGAATATCAACCTCAACAAGACTTATAGAGGTAAACACTCACAGAAATAAAGACCCTCAGAGGTAAAGGCCCACAGAGGTAAAGACCCACAGAGGTAAAGAACCTCAGAGGTAAAGACCCACAGAGGTAAAGAACCTCAGAGGTAAATACCCATTATCCTTATGAAAAATGGGTTTTTAGGCATTATGAGGGAAGCTCTAAATCCTTGTGAGTTAACACAATGTACATTATTACTATGATTATGATTATTCACTATCATTTGTAAGAGTCATTATCATTTATCCTTATTTTATTTATAGTAGCAGTAGTAGTATTTTCATAATTATTTACGTTATCATTTATGATAATCACTAATAATAATAATTATTTTTTAGTAATAATAGTGGCAATAATTTTCTTAATTTTATTTTTTGATTATTATTTATTCTCAATTTTATAATTATGGATCAAGAGCCATTGAGCTCCTGGAAAATGGGACGGAGTCAGGTTAGTTCTGAGGATAGAGAGGACAGAGCCAATTCCTCGCATCAACAGCCCTTCATTATCACCAATGTCAGGACCCTTGAGAGGTCAGTGATGAAGTGGCTACTAGTGGCTCCTTGGTACATTATTATTATAAAAAAGAAGCGCTAAACTTACAAGGAGTTCCTTGGTATAGCCTTCGGCTCACAACTGTAGGACCCGGGCTCAATTCTGGAGCGAGGTGGAGCTGTGGGTCATGTTTCCTCACACCTGTTGTTCCCTTTTCTACGTAGCAGCGGCTCTTCTCACAGAAGTTTTAAAAACATCTGTTATTTAGTCTTCTCATCTCTCTCAGTTTCTGAGTACAACGTATTCTTTGTTTTCATTTCTCTCAGTGAGTACTCTCGTCTCTCTCAGTGAGCGCTCTCATCTCTCTCAGTGACAATGTTCTTATCTCTCTGAGTACAGCGCATTCTCGTCTCTCGCTCAGTGACTGAGTACAACGGAGCTAGCTTGCAGTTGGCTCGGGTCAGCAGAATGGACATGGCGGCTTACCTCTGCATCGCCCGCAATGGTGTTCCACCCATCGTCAGCAAGAGGATCCAAGTCAGCGTCGACTGTAAGTGTCAGCTGATCCCTGTACCCCATCGTACCTTGCCACCACCTCTCACCCTCATCCTTACCTGTTTTATGCCTGTCATCAGTCTCCTCTAATACACGTTTCGTCCGTTCGCTTCACGCAAGTGTGAACATATTAATGATATTTTAATAATGTCTAAATGCCTAAACGTCTGCCAGTATTACACAGTACAAATAGTGGACAGGCTTTAAACCCCCATTAACCAACCAACCACATACCACCACAATAATCCTCCAACATACACCGTACCACCATCACCACCACTACCACAATCTCTCTCATCATTCTTCCTCGTCCAGCACCTCACAGTAGCAGCAAAACTTAGTTATGTTTCCCTGTCAAATTCAGCCATACAAGGTGGACTGAAAGTACATCATGAGGCGGGGGGAACGTGGGGGGTGACGCTGAAAATACAACAGAATGGTGCAATATGATACACAAAACCAGGATCATTGCCTCAGGGGCAATGATCTCCGGAACCATCTGTACACAGGCAGTGTACAGATAGGTCTTGAAACTCCCTCTCATTTATACCTGTCTCCAGAAATTCCAATTATCTTCCGAGAGTTGTACATCACACACAGCTCATGAACCTTATCACCTGCTCTCTATCACGTCTCAAGGAGTTGCTACATCTCAAGGAGTTGCTATTTAAAGCCGAGTCACCATCACCACCACTAAGGCAGCCTCAGAAAAGGGGTTCCTTGATGCTGGTAAAGAGCTTCTCACCTTTTCTTTGGCTCAACTCTGATTACCCACCGTTTCCCAGGTAACCCCAAAGCTACAATAGTAGTAGTAGTAACAACAACATTTCAGCGAAGAGACCCAAATTTCCTCATTTTTAACAAATAAGACTATTTTCAGTGCTTCATAAACATAATGGATTTGATGCCTTCTTCGTTAATAAAATAAAGAAAAACAATACCCGAGTTAGGATTACTGAGAGGGGAGAGAGAGAGAGAGGATTAATATTTCACTAACGCTCTCTCTCTCGCTCTCTCGCACACAACACTTTTCCTCTAACAATTCTGAACTAAAAGTATGAGCAATTGAGCATACAGTCAATTTTATTTGCGAAAACCTGTTTGGGTTTACGCCAGCAACAACAAACACATCGAGCTGACATGTTTAAGGATCCCGATCTCTCTCTCTCTCTCTCTCTAAAGAAACGCTGCGAAACAAGTTTATAATAGGTAAACGCTTCGTTCGGTTAAAGCTTTATCACAGCAAGAAACACGCAGACGTTATAAAATAAGAGCTTTAACTGAGAAAACGGTCCTTTCTGTTAGAGCTTCATCAAGTCAGTGACTCGGTAAAGCTCTGATCCGAGTGGAACGTCGTCCCAGTACAAAACCTCTCATAGTAATAGCTATGTCACACTTAGAAATGGGCTGCAAACCCCATGTGTAAGTTAGCTTGGGTTAGGTTAAGTTAGCTTCAGTTGAATTAGGTAGGTTAACTTAAGGTGGCTTAGGTTAAGTTAGGTTACAACAGAATAAATACTATTTATAAAATGAAAGACGGTAAAATAGTCTGCCGGGCAAACAAAAACAGGCAGCCGTTGCTGCGCTCGGCTCATGTAACTGTCATAGTGTGACTGTTTAAGGCTCCGTCAAGAATTGGAGCTACCATTGTTAACTTAGCGCATCCTTGTGAATACTGTAATTATGATTATTATTATTATTATTATTATTATTATATGGTTCAGTATATCCATTATTTTTTTAACAATAACATTACAGCACTATAAGAATAATAATAGAAATATATGTGATATGATAATAATAAGGGCTTCAGCTCTTATTATTTTTATTATATAGGTAAATTTATATATTTTTTTAACAATATTGCATAATAATAATATAATAGAAATAATAAGGCCGGGTCACCACTACTTGGAAAAGACCCGGGCCGGGAGAATACCGGCGAATAAAAAAATAATAGAAATAATAATAAAAATAATAAAATAGAAATATTATTATTATTAATAATAATAGAAATAATAAAAATAATAATAATAAGAATAAAAATAATAATAATAGAAATTATAGTTGCAGCTGACCTTGCTACCTGGCGGCCCAACACAACTCTCACCTACACTGGCTCCGCTCACTAAAAAATTCCGTGTGTGTTAAATGTCACGGCTGAAATATAATCAACCGAGCTAATTTGTGAGCTGTGTTCATTAACTCCATTAGCACATTCAGACAGTTTTCGTCCCCCTACCCCCCCTCCCCCGTTTCTCCATCGTAAACAAGAAGACGTCGTTGTGAGCCATAAAACTGGCATGCCAGACAATTTTCGATGCCGGATGTTTGTGCGAGGGACTGATTACACGTTATGCAGGTATAGTTGGGTTAGTTCATCTAATTGAAATTGGATGTATTTTTTTTTTTTTTTGCGAGGGCATGGGCGAGCGACGTGGTTGGATTTTTTTTTTTTTATGGGGGGGGATCACATATTTTGTGTCACATGATTTATATTAAATGATTTGCGTCACATGATTTTTATCGCATGATTTTTATTACATGATTTGGATCATGTGATTTATATCACATGCTCTCTCTTCAATGTTTTATATCACATACTTTTTGTCACATAACTTTGTTGGTGTGTCTACACTGTATATATACACAAGTATCTACACTGCTTCTTACGTGGTTAAAGTTTCAACCTCTTGTTCTTCCTGTGGTTCATAACAGGATTTCTCCTCATATACCTTTAATTGTATTAGTTTAGGTGTAGCTATCACATATCCTCTGTGTCAAGAAAGTGAACTCTCTTGAACATTATGTGCTTGACTGTCCACTCACTGGGGAATATAGAGACAGTATAATACCCCATTTATGCCATAATTTATTTATGACAAATACCAGACATTTTCAGCAAATATCCTAAATTTTCTTGCAACAGATAAGACATTGTAAATATGAATGTTAATGTGCTCCTGTTATCCCACGGCTTTGGTGTGTCCGTAAGCCCGTGTGCTACCGTCCACAGGCTGCATGATAAGCCAAAATAAAAAAAATCTCTTCGGTTTCTCCTTCAAAATTAGTCTCTCCTAAGAAGCTCCTGCAAAAGAATCTGTAAAGACTAAAGGCAATCTTCACGTAAATTTCGTGTGTGAGAAGCAAGATTTACCGACAAGTATGGTAGTAACTACGTACACAGTAAACATCAGTTTACGCTCAATGTTTCCCCTCTAAACACAGCTTTACTGAACATTGTTCGGAACCAAACATTAATTATTAATTAAGATTTGCTCTGCACATAGTGCCTTTCTACCGTAGATTTCGTTGCTATACAATTTCTTTAATTATATCATAACTCAAAAGATTGGATATACACAACTATGCTTATCGTTTTGTTGATTATATCTCAAAATATTGTATCCTCTTTCCTCGAATTTCTTCCCTTATCACTATTTTTAAACGCTAATGTACAATATTTTCCGATTTACAATACCAACATCCATTGTGTTAATGAGCTATCAAAGCTATGCAGTGACAAATAATATAATTCTTCCGCTCAACGCTAAACTCGTAGGATTATACAGCGTATGTGGGGGGGGGGATGGAAGGTTTTCAGGTTCAATTCAGGGAACAAGAGCACAGATCCAATTCCCTAGATCACGAACCCCTCACCATTCAAAGCCCCCAAGATGATACTTTGTCTGGACCTTCTGTTCTGTCAGTGTTCATCTTCGATTATTTTACTGGGTTATTTTACCGAGTTATTTTACCGAGTTATTTTACCGAGTTATTTTACCGAGTTATTTTACTGGGTTATTTTACTGGGTTATTTTACTGGGTTATTTTACTAGGGTCATTAAGGCTGCCACGTGATCTTTTCAATACTACTCAAGAATATTTCAGAGTTGATGCTCCACCTGGCTCCCTCCGCTGATATATATATGTCGTGCCGAATAGGTAAAACTTGCGATTTTGGCTTAAATAATAACGCTCTTCTTGAATATGGTAGGCGAAAACTTGTGTATGCAATAATTTCGCAAAAATCATTCTGAACCTAACGAGAAAAATATATTTCATTGTGTTTGTTTATTATTAAAGTATTGTAAACTTATCTAAAATATATTTAATTGGATTAGGCTAAATTAAATTGCACTTGTTATAATAAGGTTAGGTAAGTTTTCTAAGATTCTTTTGGTACAAATTATTATAATAAAAAAGAAGCGCTAAACCACAAGGGTTCTTTTGGAACAAAATTATTAATTGTTGCATTAACATAAGTAAAAAAAAATATATCTTTAAACGTATAAGAGAAAATTTTAGAAAGGACAATTTTAAATGAATTCTTGCCAATTGACCAGTTTTACCTATTCGGCACGACGTATATACGCTGAGAGAAACACACCTCACAGTGTATACATCTATTTCGTGTTGAAACCTAATTTCTCTAATACTCCTTCGTAACCACACCGTTTTTTTCTTCATATCACACATTCTAATCTCCGACTCTACGACTAATATTTATCTTACCTTTCCTTTTTCCTATTTAATTTTGTATTTAATTGTATATAATTTCTATATTTTCCAGCATATAAGGCGAACCTTTTATTCCCATCACAATTATAATCATAGGGGAGCGCTGAACCCGTAAGTTTATACAGCGCATGTGGGAAGGGAGGGTGGAAGGTATTCAGGCTCAATTCAGGGAGCTGGAGCACAGATCCAATTCCCTAGATCAAGAGCCTCTCACCAACGTCATGGAACCTCCCTCGAGGGGTTATTCCCCCCAAAATAGTGGAAAACTATCCTGCGACTTATATGCTCAAGGGTCAAAGGTAACCTTTGGGTTACGCTTTAGCAGTTGTTTACGAACGTTACGTACAATTGCTTGAAAACGGGTTACTTCTCATATTTTCGTGCGCCTTATACGCCGGAAAATACGGTAACTGTAATTTGCTTCTTCGAAACTTTTATTAGTTTGGCTCTGCCGTGTAACGTCTCCTCTAATTATGTTTCCAAAGTTTCTCTTCTCTTTTTCCAAAGTTTCTCTTCTCATTTTATTTATCTGACTATGATTCGAAGAAACTGATTTTCGCTTTTGTTATTTTCCACATCTTACATTAAACTATTTTTCCTTTTTTGTTTTTTTGTCCGTTTCTTATTTTTGTGATAAACTGTTTAAGGGCATTGTTGTTAGTGTTTTATTAAATGGCATTTTATATTGACATCATTCTCCAGTAGTGCTTCGTTATATTGACATTCTCCAGTAGTGCTTCGTTATATTGACATCATTCTCCAGTAGTGCTTCGTTATATTGACATTCTCCAGTAGTGCTTCGTTATATTGACATCATTCTCCAGTAGTGCTTCGTTATATTGACATCATTCTCCAGTAGTGCTTCGTTATATTGACATCATTCTCCCAGTAGTTGCTTCGTTATATTGACATCATTCCCCCCAGTAGTGGCTTAGTTTATATTGACATCATTCTCCAGTAGTGCTTAGTTATATTGACATCATTCTCCAGTAGTGCTTAGTTATATTGACATCATTCTCCAGTAGTGCTTAGTTATATTGACATCATTCTCCAGTAGTGCTTAGTTATATTGACATTATTCTCCAGTAGTGCTTAGTTATATTGACATCATTCTCCAGTAGTGCTTCGTTATATTGACATCATTCTCCAGTAGTGCTTAGTTATATTGACATCAAATTTTCCAGTAGTGCTTAGTTATATTGACATCATTCTCCAGTAGTGCTTAGTTATATTGACATCATTCTCCAGTAGTGCTTAGTTATATTGACATCATTCTCCAGTAGTGCTTAGTTATATTGACATCATTCTCCAGTAGTGCTTAGTTATAATTGACATCATTCTCCAGTAGTGCTTAGTTATATTGACATCATTCTCCAGTAGTGCTTAGTTATATTGACATCATTCTCCAGTAGTGCTTAGTTATATTGACATTCTCCAGTAGTGTTTCGTTATACTGACATCATTCTCCAGTAGTGCTTCGTTATATTGACATCATTCTCCAGTAATGCTTAGTTATATTGACATCATTCTCCAGTAGTGCTTCGTTATAGTGACATTCTCAAGTAGTGCTTCGCAATATTGACATCATTCTCCAGTAGTGCTTCGTTATATTGACATTCTCCAGTAGTGCTTCGCTATATTGACATCATTCTCCAGTAGTGCTTCGTTATATTGACATTCTCCAGTAGTGCTTCGTTATAGTGACATCATTCTCCAGTAGTGCTTCGTTATATTGACATTCTCCAGTAGTGCTTCGTTATAGTGACATCATTCTCCAGTAGTGCTTCGTTATATTGACATTCTCCAGTAGTGCTTCGCTATATTGACATCATTCTCCAGTAGTGCTTCGTTATATTGACATTCTCCAGTAGTGCTTCGTTATATTGACACCATTCTCCAGTAGTGCTTCGTTATATTGACACCATTCTCCAGTAGTGCTTCGTTATAGTGACATTATCCAGTAGTGCTTCGCTATATTGAAATCATTCTCCAGTAGTGCTTCGTTATATTGACATTCTCCAGTAGTGCTTCGTTATATTGACATTCTCCAGTAGTGCTTCGTTATATTGACATTCTCCAGTAGTGCTTCGTTATATTGACATCATTCTCCAGTAGTGCTTCGTTATATTGACATCATTCTCCAGTAGTGCTTCGTTATATTACATCATTCTCCAGTAGTGCTTCGTTATATTGACATTCTCCAGTAGTGCTTCGTTACATTTACATTCTCCTCCTGTACTACTCAGTTACGTTGAACATCTCTAAAGAATGTTCGAAATCAGGGGTTCTTGACCTTATTACAATTACAGACCCCCAGTGGATTGTCCAACGTGTCCCTAGACCCCCTTCACTAGTGTGTCGAAATCCCCACCACCACCACCAGTCCTGTTAGGTATCAGGATGACTACAGAAGATGTCAGTAGCTTGGTTTTACTTTAAATATGGATAATTGGCAACACAACAGCTGATAGTTTATTCTAATTAACAACTTTTTATTTTAATTGTTCATCGGTCGAATTCCATACCAACTGTAATATAGTTTATCTTAACTCGTTTTCCTGTTTCTTCAATTTCATCTTTGCTATAAGGATAATTTCTCTCAAAAAAAAAAGTGGATCGCCGTTTTAAAAATTACATTAAACTAACTTATACTGAAAATAAATTATTTCTAATAAATTTAATCTTGGTGTTTCCTTTTTCTCACCTTTTTTGGCATTTTTGAGAAATTTAAACTTTTTTTTAATTAAAATTAAGACATTATTAAAAAATATTAATCTTTATTAAATGTCCTTTAATGAATGGTGAATTTCCTTCCAATAATACAGGTATTTCTTAAACTTTTTTGTTAATGATCTCATAACCTATTTTAAATTTCTGAAGATAACCTGGAATCCATATCATCCATATGTGTTATCCAGTATGTCTTTTATCCAATTTCTGTTAACTTGTTATGTGTGTGTGTGTGTGTGTGTGTGTGTGTGTGTGTCTGTGTTAATATAATTACGTATGCTCACCTGGCGTGTCTGCGGAAGTTGACTCTTAGCTCTTAAGCCCTGTCTTGTCATTTCGACTAGCTGGTGCTGTTTTATCCTGGCTATTTTGCGTTTCACTTCGTCGCTTCTCTTATTATAAGATAACAAGAAATTGTACCTTCACCAGTCCTAAATTACCCTTAAACATACGACTTCATAAATCCTAAAATAGGACTGAAGAAGCCATTAGTGGCGAAACGTTTCCTTTAATGAACGTCTTGAACTGTACAATAATGTCCTGTTTCTTCTCACAGCTTTTATTACCATACCATTCACAGCTAATACTGTAACAAAAAAATGTTATGCCTGTAACCTCTTCTTCATGTAACCAGTGTCCTCACTTGCCCGCCCACAGTCCCGCCCATGATGAGCATCCCTCACCAGCTAGTGGGCGCGCCCCTGGGGTACAGCATCACCCTGGAGTGTACCATCGAGGCTCACCCGCCTGCCCTCACCTACTGGACCCGCGGCCAGGGAGTCATGCTGCACCAAGGCCGCAAGTACCACATCACTGAAAGGGTAATGTATCACTGCTCTCTCTCGTTAACACCCAGGAGTAGCGATCAACTTTCCTCCTCGTTTAACTTGTGCTGAAAAATCAGCGACAGCTTTGTTATCTTGGCCTCGTTTTGTTTCCCATCCTCGCTTCTGCTGATGCTAACGATAACTGGTCTTTGTCTCATTTCCACAGTCTCCCTGTCAAGTTTCCCCTTTTCCCTTTCGACCCTCCCCCTGCCAAGGTTCCCCGTCCCTCCTGTCAAGGTTCCCTGTACCCCACTGTAAATTCTACAGAATACTGTTCTGACTTGGTAACGTTTTTTTCTTCCCTTGTGGCTTATGTTAGCGTCTTCAGATCACAACCTAAAGGCCCGGGGCCAGTCCCGGGTTTAGGCATGCATTCTTACACCTGTTATCCCTGCTTATCTGACGGTAAGTAATTACCTGGGTGCTAGCCAACAGTCGCGGATCACATCCTGGGGGAGACGATCAGTGATCTATAAAAATAAGCCAGACCAGCTGGCTTTCCTAGGATATCCTTACTAGCGTTACCCTCTGTATCCCAGTCCTGGATATCTCCAAGTTATCTATACTAGTGTTGCCATCTATATGCTGGACGGTATTACGCTGCTAAGTAGAGCTTAAAGTGAAAATCACATTTTTCTGATAAAGTCAACAAAATTTTATATGTCCACCGATGGTAAAATCAAAACTATAGCGTGTTTTGATTAGGCACTTTTACTCAAAAAAATTCTGAAGTCTTAATTCAAAGTATAAAGGTAAAAATAAAAAAAAAATCCTAAAAATGCTTGAAAATCCGTCAAAAAAAAATAGTCGCAAAAATACTGGCAAAAAAAAAAAGTGGATAAGTAAGACACAAAGGCAACAGTTAGGCAACTTTATTCCGAAACGTTTCGCCTACACAGTAGGCTTCTTCAGTCGAATACAGAAAGTAGGCAGGAACAGTAGAGATGTGAAGACTATGGAACTGAACTCTCCAGGCTGAGGGACTGACAACCTCAAATTCTACGACTTCAAGGGTGATGGACTGATTACATCGTCTTCACATCTCTACTGTTCCTGCCTACTTTCTGTATTCGACTGAAGAAGCCTACTGTGTAGGCGAAACGTTTCGGAATAAAGTTGCCTAACTGTTGCCTTTGTGTCTTACCTACCAACCTGTCGGTATTTTATACCATTTTGATGTTCATCAAAAAATGGATAAAAAATATCAGTGGATCTTACGGACGAACAATTTCTTCAATAATACAATTTTATTCTTAATATTTCGGGATTTCAGGGCAGAGTCTTGTCTTGCGAGCGATCATCCATTAAGTAGGTTCAGAGTTCAGTTATTTAAATATATAATTTTACAATGAAGAATAATGCAACACAGACAAGCGTGTAAAGCCAATACTCAAACTTCCTTCAACAGTATAACTGATGATAGAAGGGCGATACTACCATGACTATAATAATCTTCACTGGTATAAACCCTGGTAATAAATATCGACAAGATTTAGAAATACATGTAAGCAAACACTAGAACTATTAGAAAACGTTTCGGTCCTGGGACCTTAATCAAAGTTCCAAGACCGAAACGTTTTCTATGTCCTAGTGTTTGCTAAAGTGTCTTCATTACCTTTAATAACCAATACTCTACATAGAAGCATTTGTCTATAATAATCTTTATCTATTAAAAACTGTATTATCTGTAATAACCTTTATCTATTAAAACTTTTTATCTATAATCAAAATTATCAATAATAACCTTTGTAGATAAACAATTTATCTCTAGCCTTAATCTATAATAATCTTTATAATAACCTATATTAATTATAATGACATTATTTCTAATACAAGGTTCACTCTATAACAACTACGTATGTCAACAAGACACAGGATGCGGATTACGATATTTTGTCGAGAAGACGTTTCTCCCACCAGGGACTTTATTGAGCATTGATGAAGTCCCCGGTGGGCGAAACGTCTTCAGTAAAATGCACAAACTGTATATTGTTTTATTAATTAAACAACACCTGACATTTTACAGTGGTAACTTGTTCATAATGTGTCATTCCACAGTGGTAACTTGTTCATAATGTGTCATTCCACAGTGGTAACTTGTTCATAAATAGTTGTCATTCCACAGTGGTAACTTGTTCATAATGTGTCATTCCACAGTGGTAACTTGTTCATAATGTGTCATTCCACAGTGGTAACTTGTTCATAATGTGTCATTCCACAGTGGTAACTTGTTTTCGTTTGTATCATTCTACAGTGCTAACTTTATTTTACGCTTGTCATTCTAAAGTGCTAAACTGTTTACATTTGTGTCGGCAGCCAGGGGAAGTGTCGTACCGCACACACATGAAGCTCACCATCAGGAGCCTTCGTAAGGATGATGACTACGGTCCCTACAAGTGCGTGGCCAAAAACTCCCGAGGGGAGACCGAGGGACTCATCAAACTCTACGGTGAGTGAGGCTAGAGGGAGCCATCACGCTCTATGGTGACTGAGGCTAGAGGGAGCCATCATGCTCCACGATGAGGCTAGAAGGAGTCATCATGCTCCACGGTGAGGCTAGAAGGACTCACAATGCTCCACGGTGGGTGAGGCTAGAGGGACTCTCAATGCTCCACGGTGAGGCTAGAGTCATCATACTCCACGGTGAGTGAGGCTGGTGATCCTGGTGGTAGAAGTGTCTAATACAGAGCTGTAATAGATGGCGAGGGGGGTAATACCTACATTCACTTTAATAGTACCACGTTTCGCCTGCCCTGCAGCTTCATCAGGCGAAACGTCTTCATAATTTTTTCCAGTTGCTGCTGGTGTGACTATCAAGTAAAGAGTAGATAGTTTATTGATGAAAACCTGTCGACAAACTGGCAAATCTTTCGAGACCCGAGTTAAACAATATAAATACGCAATATTTAATGGACAAGAATTCAGTGCTTTGTTCATTCATGTAAGGGATACAGGTCATTATGTAGATTGGACTAATACCAAAGAATTCCTTCCCTGTAATTTTACGGTTAAACGAAACATTATGGAATCATCTTTTATCAAGCATGATCCACAACATATTTCAAATTTGAATTCTGGAATGTATAAACTTGACAATTTTATAGTCCAGAATATTGTTCGTAATCTTAAAGGTAAAAATATTTTTCACAAAAATGCAGTGTTCTTTGCCAGGTGAACATCTTGGCTTGATGTTGTACAAAAGATGCGTGGGACAGTTTTGTCTGGGACAGGTATGTGTGAAGTGTTGTCACCTTCTATGGGTGAGGTGTCACCTTCTATGGGTGAGGTGTCACCTCTGTGTTTAGTAGATGAATGGTTCAGAGAACCGACACGTTGATAAATTAGACTGAGGGAAAAGTTCAATAGATAGGAGTAGCGAGGGAGTATATAGTAACAAAATTTTCATTCCGGCTACTTTTAAGGGGGGGTTAAGTCAAACCCCGCTTTTCCCCCGGCCTTTTTTCCCCCCACCCCCGAAAGTAAATATTTTTGGGAACCTCCCGGCTGCTTGTTAAGGGGGGGGTCATCTAGCTCCCGCTATCCCCTTCCCCCCTTCCCCCTTCCCCCCCCCCCCCCCCCGGAAAAGATGACGTGTGGGGCCCCCCCCCAAACATTAATCATTTAGACCCCACAGCTCCCAGCACACGGAAAGACATTCCTCCCCTTTTTATTCTATTTGGAAATTTAAAGGGTTAAAGCTTCACTATTTTAAAACCAATTTAAAAAAAAAACTTAGTCCTTTCATTTTTGCTCAAGTTGACTGTTTTAATAATCACCACATTTTTTTAAAGTATTGTACTTATCATGGAGAGTGTTTTTCCTTAAGCAGGGGGTAACCTTTCTATTTTTCCATTTTGGATGACGAAGGGTCCCCCTTTCCAATCAAACGAGTAGAACTAAATGGGTTTATTTAACGCCCTGAACAACCCCTTTTTTTGGTTTTTAATTACCTGTGAAACGGCCGGGTATAAAAAATTGCGGGGCCCTAACCCCTCATCATTACCATAAAAAACCCCTGCTTTCCTGTCATGGGGATAAAAAACTCAAGGGCTATACTGGAAGAACTACCCCAGTGGTTGAAACCCAAACACCTGCGCCCCCCCCCCCCCCACACGGCAACGGGCAAACATTTCAACAAGAAATGCCCAACCAACCCAAAGGAAAAACCCAAAGGGTTTTTATATTACGTTAAAATTCTTTATCTTTTAAAAATTTTTCATTTTCTTTAAGTGGGTTTTAATTTTTCATATTTAAGTTTTTTTAAAATTTTCTTATAAAAAAGGGTTTTAATTTTTTGTCTGAAATTTGTTTTTTTTTTCTTTAAATTTTTTCCTGAGGAGGAGCCACCTTTGGGTAATACTTTTCTGAAGTTGTTACAGGGCTGAGAAAGGGCCTTCACAATGGCAAACCCTTGCCGGGATCAACTCTACTAAAACCAAGATTAAAACCCATCCCCAAAACTACCATTGGAAACTTCAACGCCGCATACCACAGAGGGTTTTTAACCACCACCCCTGAGTAATAAATTCTCTATGGTGGGAAACTACTTACAGGTATTTAAAAAGATTTGGAGATTGTTAGGGTCTCAATTTATTGTTTTCAAGGCAGGAATACATTTTAATTCTGCCATCTATTTTTTGTGAGTTTTGAAACACTTTGGAGGTTTAAACTCTGGGGACCCTGAATTTTCCAGTGCCCCTTTTTAAAATTGACCCTTTTTAATTAAATAAAGGGGAACTTTTTATGGGACACTCTTTGTTTTTGTTGGTGAAAAGTTTTAAAAGGCCCAAGTGCCCCCCATTCTCTTACTGTTTTGCTGGGAGCCGGCATAGAACCCTTTTTTTAATTAATAAAAATTTTGTTTAATTAAAAGTAGGGATCGGGGCCCTCGGTTTTTTTACAGTTTGCGGAGCGGGAATTGAACCCCCCAATTTTCTTTAATACCCGTTTCTTTTTTCCCCTGATTTTTTTAAATTTTTCCTTGAAAACAGGGAGGAATACCTTTTTGGATGAATCCCGGAAAGGGTTGGGAAAAAACCCGGGGAAAAAATTTTAGAATCTTTCATTAATGCAAGATCCGGGAAAAGATTTTAAAAGAGAGAGAATTGAGAGAGAAGAGAGACGAAAAAAAGGGGGAAAGAGAAAAAAAAAAGGAAGAAAAAGATTCGAAAGAGAAGAAAAAAAGAAAAAAGAGAACCTTGAAAGACGGAAAAAAGGAAGAGAGAGAATTGAGAGAGAAATCCAAGACAGAAAGAGAAAGAAAAAAAAAGGAGCATGGTAACTTGATCGTGAAAAAAGAGCTAGAAAAATGTGAGGAAAAAGGGCTAAGAAAAACTTGGGGGGAACAAAGTTAAATTAAGAAACTTAAAGGAAAAAGAGCAAAGGATAAAAGAAGTCGGGGAAAAAAACAAAGGAGAATTTGAGTTAATAGAGAAAAAAGGACGCGAGCTCAAAAAATCTCCCCTTGAATTAGAGAAAAAAAAAGTAAACTTTGACACAACAACAATTAAGGAAGGAGTTTTTTAAATTCATGAAAGCTAGTGCACAATTCCAAAAACCAAATTTTTACCTCCCTTTCACAGAGGGGAAGACATAATTTCCATAATTATCAATTTTTGAAAAATACCGCTACCCTCTGTGAAGGGGCCTGCTGACACCGGGGCAAAACCGGGTTTTTAGGAATGTTTTTTCTGTACAGCCTTGAATACTATGAAAACTTTGCCCGCGGGATAATGAAATTTAAACCCCTGCTGAAAAAAGAAAACCTTTAAAAAGGCATATAAAAAAACCCAAACTAATTCTTACGGAAAGATTTCAGGTATGCCCCCTTTACAGCCGGCCAAAACTTTAAGCTTTTTAAAAGGGAAAACACCCCTTTCGTTTGTTCGTTTTTTTGATAGAGATTTTCAGGAATTAAACACATTTATAAAATTCCCCAAAGAGATTTAGGGTTGCTAAACCATTCCTGCCCAAGCTCTTCCCAACCCCGGGAAAACAAACTTTCATTAAGAACGAAACCGATTAAAGCTAGGAATTTTGCTGGGGGCTGCTGACCTGAAACCCGAGGCTCACAATTCCAGAAAGCCCTTAAAGGGGATCAAACCTTTAAGGGAAAAGGGTTCACCCAACCTTAAGAAAAAAAAACCCTCTAGTGGAAAGAAAATGACTTTTTTTATTCCTGTTTGTCATTTGTGTGGTTTTAAAGGGGAAAAAACGTCCAGTTTGCCCCTTCTAAGAAGGCCCAAAAAAAAAGTTGGAAGATGTTTTAAAAAATTTGTAATGACCAAGCCCCCCTTCTGTTTCGGGAACAGTTAATGGACTTAATGTATCTACCATTTTACAGACCCCGGATGCACATGTATGGGTCTTTCTGATAACTTTTTCCCCAAAAACCTTATAAAAACCCAAATTCCTCGCAAATTTCAACTACTTGGGCCGTACGGACATTTTTTCGTACCACCCCGTTGTTACATTAGGTCAAAAAGGGTTTTCACAGGTTTTGTTCTGAACCGTACAAGCTCCCATCACTTTTTGCCCGAATAATGGGAAAATTAAAAGGGGCCCAAATTCTTCCTTTTCTGAGGTTAAACCTTTCTTTCACCAAAAAATGGAAAATAGGTGTTTCAAATCCTCTTTTTTTGAAGAGTCAGAAGCCCCCCCAAAAGTTCAATTAGAAAAATTTTCTCGTAAGATTCTGTGGGATTAAAAACCATTGATCCCAACCCTCGAAAGCGGGGGTAGAAGGATCCCCGGGTTTCATTTTATTAATAAAAGGGGGGAAAAATACCCACCTCCGATACCAAAAATGTCTTGCCTGGGGCTAACCAAAGCCCAGGCTTCCCCTCTGCCCCACCTTTGTTTTTCCCTGTTTTTTTCCTTTAGAAAATATAAAAGGGACCCTTTTTCAATTTACAACGTAATTCCCCTTTTTTCCTTCGGGATTGCCAAAAAGCCCTAAAAAATCAAGTTTATCCAAAAGAAAAATTTTTCCCATTAAATTTGAATAAAAAAAGGGAAATCTTGTACAAGTCGGAATTAAAATTAAAATTCAGAGAAAAAGACTTTTCCCAAACCTTTTAGTTTTTCCAAAATTCAATGCAGAGAGCTGTTCTTAAAATGGCTCATGACCTGCCATTGGCCGGACATTCCCCCGCATCGTAAAACCTTAAAAAAAAATTAGGGGAAAAAACCCATTTTTGGGCCAAAAAATTTCCCCAGATATCACTACCTATTGTAATCGGGGTAAAGTTTTTCCAACGTCATCCCCCCCGAGTACCAGGGGAGACCTATGGTCAAAAAGGGCCAGTCTTTTAAAAGGGAAACCTTTTTGAAAGAGTACTAATTTTACAAACGTTTTGGCCTTTAAACTCCACTTTCCCTCCCGGGGGACATTTAAAATTTAAAATGTTGATTTGCTTTGAGTTTCCCCTGAAGCCCTACCCTTAAAGA